TAATTGGAATAATCATGACCATTTCCTTAAGTGATCACAAGGTGACTGGGTTTAAGGCCCCAAGCCATCCATATTATTTACAGGATTTCATATTATGTCACCATGTTTCATAAAAAGTTGATGTAGTCAATAGCCACATGGGGTAACATTTCTGTATCTTTTGTAAAACAGTCATTAAAGGTATTGTACATTATATTACCTTTTGTTATTCAAGGATCTTAATAATAAAATCTTTGCGAAGATAAATTCCATGTGATAAAAAGTTAAGTTTGATTGTCCTCTTTTTGAATGAATTAGATTAGTTCCTTTGATTAAATATTGAAAATGATATAATTATGGTCATTGGCTACCACATTTCTAGAGTTGCAGCTTGTATTAATCTCTTCAGATTGCTACCTAGTGGCAGTTTTATTGATCATTAACACTCTTCCAGATGGTGAATAGGGAAGCATGCTAAAATTATGATCAATCATTTTCAGGGGCATTTACATGTTTTATTTATTTAAGCTGCTTTGACTTCTATTTGTACTGGTAAAAGAGGACTGCACTCAACTAAGTTAGATTTTTATGTCTATGCCCTTTGCCTCAGAGAATAACTAAATTGAAGACTAGAATTATTAATTATAATAGTAGGTATCACAGATACTGACTTACTATTTGCTAAGCACCACGTGAAATTTTTTATATACTATTTATTCCTCAATAACCCTTGGGTATTATTTTCCTCTCCATATTGATGAGGATACAAACACATTAAATAATTTATTGTCACACAATTAGTAAATGGTGGAACTGTGTTGAATACGGAGTTTAACTCTCGGCTAGTTTCACTTCAAATTCAAGACCTTGTAGAAAACCACAGAGATCTTGGGAGGTAAACATATCACACTTGTGACAATATTCTCTAACCCCTCCATGCATGTAGGAAAAAGAGAAAGTGGATTTGATGAACATTTAGCCAATTTTTGCTACAGTATTCATTTTTCTATGAATGGAATTGAATAGACACATATGGATGACAAGGAGGTTTCAAATACAAGTGCAAATTATTCAACAAGTAGTCACTACCTAGAGCAAAACTAAGAATGATTCAAAGGCTGGGTCTAGACCCAGTAGAAAAGGTTCTTTTGTGCTTCATATGTGGGCTAGAATAGTAAGACTGATAATTAGTGTTGGGGAGGTCTGGTCCTGGAGACATTAATAAGGAGATATCTAGAGATTTTTTTTTTAAATATAAGAGCGCCCATGTTGCTGATGAACTCAAATTGTTATGGAATTAGAGTTTAAGACAGTGTAAGTTAAAAAAAGGTCTTTACCATATTAATATGGTGCAATATGGTTCCCTCTCCCCCACCAAAAACCTGTGGGCTAAAGGCTTAAGCCTCAGCTTGGAGCTTTTGGAAGGAGGTGAAAACTGTAAAAGGTGAGACACAAAGGTCTGCCAGTGGTTGAGGATGTGCCTCTTTTTCAAGGAGATTCCTCAGGGATAAATGTTTAAGGAGATGGAAATGCTAATCACTCTACTTAATCCTTGTACATTGTATATGTGTATCAAATTATCACACTGTCTCCCATAAATAAGAGAGTTGTGTGTCAATTAGAGCAATTCTTACAGAGCATTAGAAAAAGCAGAGGTTGGTCAGGGACCTGGAACCCTCCATCTTTTGACTGTGGTCAAGGCATTAAATCTGGAAGAGAAGAGAATGGAGGAAAGCACATGGGCAGTTTCTAGAACTACGCCTAGACACACTATACCTCAAATGGTATTTCTTTGCCAGTTGAAGTGGCACCATCATGGACTGTAGCAAAAATATGGTTTCTAATCACCTAGCTTTACAGCTTTAAAAATTTTTGACTGTTGACATAAAAATTAATAAAACTATTATCAATAATGTTACTTATCATGAGAGTTCCTTAATATTCATGTTATACTCTTTCAAATCTGCACAATTTAAAAAATTGTTACTGCACTGTCGTGTGGGTGCTTTCACACACATTCCACTCCATTTGTTCAGCAGATTTAGTCTGTTAGAAGATATGACTGCTACTTATTTCCTTCCTGTGTGCCTTTCATAATAGAAAATATCACTCTGTCCTGATCTAGCCTTACCAAAAGAAACTAAAATCTATTAAGATATTGAGAAAAAGGCTGTACTAAACTTACTGAAAATTGTTATGCCATTCTCTAAAATGTCATCTCATTTTAGGGGACTTTGAAGTTAATTGTGAATGGATGTGATTCTTGTCTTTATATTCCAATTTTAGAATGAAACTACCCACCTAAGATGTGATTCTACCTGAAGATAATGGTATTACTGATTACCAACACAGCAATCAGTATTGCTTCCTTCTTTCTCTGTAACAAAATCCTATTTATTTCAGGCAGTGATCCCTCACATGTTTAACAGGAAGATAACCCTAATAGATCTTGATTTATCTAGGGTTATCATGATACTCCTACTTCCTCTGCCAGTGACTAGTTTTGGGCTGGTTGAGTAACCTAATTCTCATCTACATATGACATATGAGAACAAGTTTGTTAAGGGACTCTTGGAAAGATTTCCTTGATTCTTAGAAAGTGATAGTCAGTAAATAGGTCCTTCATCATCCTAAGCATATTTTTGAGCTTCTATATAACTCCAATGGCTACTGCCATCTTGCTACCATTCCTCTGAGGATGTCACCCTCAAGAAGTGAAGAGATAAATGAACATGAATATAAATTCATATGAATAAATGAATAAATAAACCAAAAAAAAAAAAAAGAATTGAAGAGATGGCTAGGGATGTAGTTCAGTGGTGCAGTACTTCCCTAGCATGCCAAGGTCCTTAGTTTGAACCCCAGCACTGGAGGGGAAAAAGAGAATGGAAGGAAGCAGAGAAGGATGAACACTAGGACATTAAAGATATTGCTCAATTCCTTAAGAATCCCCAATCTCTTCTTCTTAGTCAACTTAGGCTACTATAACAAAAGACAGGGTGGCTCAAATAACCAAAATTTCTCACAGTTCCGGAGCCTGGGATGTCTAAGATCAAAGTGCTGGTTGACTTGGTTCCTAGTTGAGGACTCTCTTCCTGGCATCCTGACATGCAGATGTCCTCTTTGTTGCTATTTCCTCACATGGATTCTGCTGTGTGAGCACCTCACAAAGAGATAAAGTGCTTTTTCTCTTTTTGCTCTTATAAGGCCATGACTCCTGTTGGTTTAGGACACTCATGACTTCATGTAATCTTAATTACTCCTAAAAGCCTTATCTGCAAATACAATCACATTAGAATTTGGGCTTTGTAATAGTTAATTTTGATTGTCGACTGGATTTGGATTGACAGCTGTCTAGGAGATTAGCAAAGCATAATTCTGGGTGTGTCTGTGAGGGCATTTTAAGAGAGAATTAACCAAAGGGTTAAGACCTTTCCTGAATGGGGGCAGTACCATCAAATAGGCTGGGGACTTGAATGGAATAAAAGGGGGAGGAGGAAGAAGCCAGGTATTTTCTCTGCTTTCTAGCTGTCATGAGGGGACACTTTTGCTCTGCCATGTGCTCTTGCTGCCATGATGTTCTGCCTTACCACAGGCACACAGCAATGGACCACACTGCCTGTGGACTGAAACCTCTGAAACTGCAAGCCAAAATAAGTCTTTTTTTTCAAGTTGTTCTCTCAGGTATTTGTCACAATAACAAAAAATACTGAGTAACATAGGCTTTCACATATAAAAATGGAAGAGATATGATTCAGTCTACAATAGATAATATAAATGTCCTTATGTTATTTAAATGAGTTTAAGTTTTTCTTTTTTCTGTTGCATACAGCTGAATATATCCTGATAGATAACATTTCTTATGAAGCGATACACAAAGGATAATGTCTAATTCATGACATATAACTTGAGAAGATCAAGGGCTATTTTTCTTCACTCAGAACAAAGCAGCTGTAGAGTTAAAAATGGTTAGTCCATTGCTATTATAGGGCATTTCATGAACTGCTGATTGTACATATATGTGGTATCATGTTAACATAAACAGTACAACCCTTAGGGAGTTTTAAGTTGTAAAAGAAACATTTTTCTAAGATCATGTGTTCTGATAGAAAAACCACACTGTAGCCCAGCTCCATCATTATAAAGTTCTGGCAAGCTAAGAGACATTAGTTGGTGATTTTATCAGCAATACTTCTGACTAATGGCTTGATGAAACCATCACAGTGCCATAAAACACTGTAACAAATTGAGGTGACAATTCCTTTGGAGAGTTTAATCATTTTAGATCATCATGGCCTATTCAGGAGAAGCAGTATCTCATGGATCACCACAATCTTACAAATAAGAATATACTCCTACTTTTTTTGCCTGAGACAAAAAAAGTATTTATTTTCCTTGCAATTCAAATGTAAATTTTAAAACTATCTTTAGCAAAAAAGTATAGACTCTGTCACACTCTAGAAAAGTTCTCACGAAACATTTTGCCTATCATTTAAATTATATTGTGTACAGAGTAATTTTACTAATTTTACCCTATTTTTCCAGATGAAATGTAAATAAACAACAAAAGTATATTAGAGTGAAAGATTTCATAGCCTGGTAAAATTTTATTTCTAACTGGGGCAGTAGAAGATCAGCATTTACCAAATGTAAAAGTCCAAACCAAACAAATCTGAAATCTACCAAGCAACAGATGATGAGCAATACATTTGCATATACATTTGCATATACATGGATCCATATTAAAGTAACAGAACATGGACCATTTTGAAATCTTAAACCTTCTGACACTATTTTCATGAACTCAGTAATATGAACCATGTGGTGAATGATTTCTGAAAAAGTTTGCTGGTTTCACTGTGCATTTTATGACTGGGCAAATGTGACATTAAATTTTATCCCCTGTGGCTTGAGTTAAATGCTTGCTCTGTTCAGAACAGCAACACTCAATTAAGCAGCATTTTTCATGATCTACACCCACCATTGTTATTGTATTTAAGGGAAATAATGGGGGTACTGACCTACATTGCGCTTCTTATTATCAATGGAGACGAAGCGTACGCAGGGATTACTGGTGATGTACTGCCCAGCCCAAGGGACATCAATCTTTGTGCCAGCTTCATAAAAGAGGCCCAGAGCATAGCGAGAGGAGTAGCTCACAGACTCCAGTTGCTGCCTTTGACATTCACTAATTACTGTGGAAGAGAAAAAAAAGGGTATCAAACTTGAAAATAATCATCTTTCCTTTCAAATCATCAAATACAAGGCTCCTTTGAACCAGTTCCAACTGTTACCACCAACTCCATCTTACTTACCGTGAATTTCAAAAGGTAATATAAAATAGCCTCAGTTCTAATTTTTTTTTTAGAATGATTATTAATGTTGGCACAATTATTTTCAGTGAGTTGAAGGTCCAAACTTGTTAGACTGGCAATCAGACTCTCAAAACCTAGCTCCAAGTTGCTTTACTAGTTTGGTATCCTATTTACTGTCCTTTGATTGTCTGGCAACATTACAGATTTTGAATACTGACTACTTTATTATGTGTTAGGGTCTTTGTTAAATCCTTGACATAGCATTTCACTCTATCATAACAACAGTTTTAAAAGGTAAGAGTATTATTTTCATGAAGTGAGGAGTCTATGTTCCATCTTTTATGATCTCTTAAATGTTTCAATATCATATAATAATTTTATTTTCCTGTCACCTTTCCACCATCAAATCAAAATAGTTCCTTAAGCAGATGGACCATATCTTAGTCATCTTTGTGGTAGACCACTTTTCCATTCATTCTGGCATACAAGGATAAATCTATGAAGAGAGAGAAAGGTAGACATGTAAAGTGAGTTGAAATGTAACTCAGGGAGCTGCTTGATCATATATGTACAGCCTTAACACTTCCAGTTTGAGAAAAGGCCATAGTTCCATTCTAGAAATATAGGTACACTAGTTTTATATGGAATGTATGGATAATTTTCATTTAGTTAGTGAAAAATACTCTTATCTAAAATAGTAGGGATAAGCATACCTTAAGGGTGGGGGCAACTTTAGTTATAAGCACAGTAGTATTTGTATATTTTATTACAACCACAAATAATTTTAGAATCATGGCTAACAAACATTTTTAGAGCCATGATCTCATTTAATTTTCACCAAATTAAATAAGATAGGTGTTTGTACCATATTCACTTTACATCTTCTGAAAGCTAAGATTTGGAGAGGTTAGGTAATTTGCCTGGCTTACAGTGTCCACACTAACAGTCAAGAGGAAGCCAGAATTCCCACAATTGTTGGGGATATATCCTCATTACCTCAGACTTTTTCCTGTTGGTCTTCATTTCAATATGAACTCTGACACTGCTGTCTCCTCTGACATTAATGGTTATCTTGCACTTAGAAGATAAGTTCTCTTCAACTATCATTTTCTGCCTTATTAAAAGCTCTAACTATTTGATGAACAAATGCGCTTCTGACATTGGCCTCATTATGTTCAGCGAATCTGTGGCTTCATTTTTACTATTTAATCCATTTTCCAAGCTGTGACTTGATGTTATGCTTACTGTTCTCTGAGAAAGAAGAGATTAAAAAATATAGACACTAGAAATTAAGTCATACCACTAATTTCCCCATTTTTAAAATTAAAAACCAGTCAAAACAAGTATCTTCTAAAAACAAACTCAACCAAACTATGTAGTATATTCAGTAAGTAGAAAGTTAAGTTTTTAAACCAAACTGAAGGGTCAATTAGATTGACAAGCCAAATTGGACCTTCTTCTCCCCCCTCAACCATATTTGCATATTTACCTTTTTTTTTTTTTTTTTTTTTACAAATTCTGGAGAGATAACTCCCATTGGGTAGCTCTTTGGAAAGGTAATTTGTGTCTATATAGAAAGAGCAAATAACCTTAAACATCTTTGTCTGGAGGAAGTAGCCTACAATTGAGCCTGAGTACAGAAAGATAAGACTTCTGACAGTCTCAATTTTTGGACACATTCATTTACAAAAAACATCATCCTCAGGACCTAAAACATTTTTCATTTTCTTTTTCTTGGGTGGCATTGGAGTTTGAGACCAGGGCCTCATGCTTGCTAGGTAGGTGCCCTTACCATTTGAGCCAATCTGCCAGCCTTTTTAAATTCTTTTTTAATTTTTATTTATTTTTTTGAAGTTTTTGATTATAATACAGGCAGGACCTAACTAAATGGACTCATTTTGTTTGAAAAAGTTTCTTATGGAAAATGCTGAAGGAACCAGCCCTAGGTCCCAAATATATATGCCAACAGGCATGTATTTACAAAGAATATATGATCACAAAGCAAGGCTTATATAAAGATATCTGATTTCTATACAATAAACCCTTACCTGAATGAAATTTTCATTTAATTTTTTCTTTAGGTTAATGAATTATTATTACTATTGTTGTGCTGGGGGTACATTGCGACAATTACAAAAGTCCTTACAATGTATCAACTATGTCATAGTTGAATTCACTCTCTCCATCATTCTGCTTTATGCCCTCCTTCATTCCTGGAATAGTTTCAACAGGTCTCATTTTTCCATTTACATACATGTGTACACAGTATTTACAACATATTCACCCTCCTACACCCTTTTCCCACATTTCATTTAATTCTGAACCAATAGGATCATGATCATGCAATCTCTGTAATTATATGCAGTATATATCTGTTATTATCTATTATGTTATATATGTATGTGTGTATATATACATATATATGTATGTGTGTATATATATACACACATACATATATATGTATATATATTTTATGGCTATGATGCAAGTAGAGGGACTAAAAGCTGTAGTGAATAGAATAGTTTACATTCATACTTCCATTAATTAGGAGAACTCTTCTTATTTCATTCTCTTTGTGTGTATGTCTGTGTATGCATGTGTGTGTGCACATGTATGAGTTTGGGAGAGGTAGAGTAAATAGGGAGAAAAGAAAGAGAGAAAAAGAGAAAGAGAGAAAGAGGGAGTGAAATAGAAGATCTAGCTTGTACTCCTGAGTAACACTGAATAAATAATTTCATTTTTTTTGTTTCCTACTATGATTTCATTCTCTTAGTTTGCTAGCCTTTAAAAAAGGCAAATAATTTATTCTGCCCATTTCCTATGTTTTCTGGTGACAAAAATCACCAATCCACCCATCTATCCACCCATCTATCCATCATTGCTTACTTTATACCCAGTACTCTTTCAGATGTTAGGGATGTAAAGCAGAAACACAAAACACCTGATGTCATTTAGATTACATACTGGTGTAGAGAGGCAAATTATAAATATAATTAAATAAATGGTCTATCAGTTGGTGATATGAGCTATAAAAAAATTCCATTGTGTATAGATACCACATTTTCTTAATCCATTCGTCAGTGGTGGGGCATCTTGGCTGTTTCCATAACTCGGCTATTGTGAATAGTGCTCCAATAAACATGGGTGTGCAGGTGCCTCTGGAGTAACCTGTGTCACAGTCTTTTGGGTATATCCCCAAGAATGGTATTGCTGGATCACGTGGTAGATCAATGTTTAGTGTTTTAAGTAGCCTCCAAATTTTTTTCCAGAGTGGTTGTACTAGTTTATATTCCCACCAACAGTGTATGAGGGTTCCTTTTTCCCCCGCATCCTCGCCAACACCTGTTGTCATGGTGTTGCTAATGATGGCTATTCTAACAGGGGTGAGGTGGAATCTTATTGTGGTTTTAATTTGCATTTCCTTTATTGCTAGAGATGATGAGCATTTTTTCATGTGTTTTTTGGCCATTTGAATTTCTTCTTTTGAGAAAGTTCTGTTTAGTTCACTTGCCCATTTCTTTATTGGTTCATTAGTTTTGGGAGAATTTAGTTTTTTAAGTTCCCTATATATTCTGGTTATCAGTCCTTTGTCTGATGTGTAGCTGGCAAATATTTTCTCCCACTCTGTGGGTGTTCTCTTCAGTTTAGAGACCATTTCTTTTGATGAACAGAAGCTTTTTAGCTTTATGAGGTCCCATTTATCTATGCTATCTCTTAGTTGCTGTGCTGCTGGGGTTTTGTTGAGAAAGTTCTTGCCTATACCTACTAACTCCAGAGTATTTCCTACTCTTTCCTGTATCAGCTTTTAGAGTTTGGGTCTGATATTAAGATCCTTGATCCATTTTTCAGTTAATATTGTATAGGGTGATATACATGGATCTAGTTTCAGTTTTTTGCAGACTGCTAACCAGATTCCAGCAGTTTTTGTTGAAGAGACTGTCTTTTCTCCATCGTGAATATTTTTAGCTCCTTGTCAAAGACAAGTTATAGTTGTGTGGCTTATATCTGGGTCGTTGTGTGGCTTCATATCTGGGTCCTCTATTTGTTCCACTGGTCTTCATCGTCTGTTTTTGTGCCAGATACCATCTGTTTTTATCATTATTGCTTTGTAATATAGTTTGAAGTCAGGTATCGTGATACCTCCGGGCATTGTTCTTTTGACTGAGTTTTGCCTTGGCATTCGTGGCCTCTTGTATTTCCATATAAATTTAATGGTAGATTTTCAATCTCTTTAATGAGATGTCATTGGAATTTATGAGAATTGCTTAAACATGTAGATTACTTTGGGAGTACAGACATTTTTACCATGTTGTTTCTACTAATCCATGAGCATGGGATCTCTCCACTTTCTATAGTCTTCCTCAATCTCTGTAAGTTGATTTGTATCTGCATACATGCTAAGCTGTTTATGTGTCTAAGGAGTTTTTGGGTAGAGTTTTTTTGGGGACTTTAGATATAGGTTCATGTATGTCTGCAATAGGGAATATTTAGAGTTTTCTGATTACCTATTTTGTATTCCTTTTCATTTCTCTTACTTGCCTAACTGCTCTGGTTAGAAAGTTCAGGACTTATGGTTGAATAGGAGTGGATAGTGCCGGCATTTCCTTGTCTCATTCCTGATTTATAGGGAAATGGTTTCAGCCTTATTGTTCTCCATTAATATGATGTTGGCTGTAGTTTGTCATATTGGAGGCCTTTACAATGTTGAGTACATTCCTTCTATTCCTATGTTTCTTAGAGCTTTTATCATAACTGGTCGGTGGAAGCTTGTCGCAAAGGGTTTTCTTTCTGCATCTATTGAGATGGATCAAGTTGGTTTTTGTCTTTGCCTTCATTGATGTGCTGTATTTACATTTATTAGACTTTAATATGTTAAACCA